AATAAGCATAGGTTTCGCTTTTGTTTATGGACCAACAATGAGCTTTTTGAACAACACGGAATGAGAGATAAATAAATAAAACGCAAAAAAAAAAGTTTTGCATGAAATAATTCTCATACTAAGTACTTTTGCATGCACAGCAGCACAGAAACATGACAAAACAGTGACACAGCAAAGATGAACTGCTGCTCTTGCTGTTTTCAAAAGACGCAAATGAAGGTCCAGCTGTTTGTCTGCATTGCAGACAACCATATCCAAATCCATATCCACAGACAACCATATCCATGCTGGCACATAAAACCTAAGGATGTTCCATATTGAATCTAGTTTCGTTATGTAACTATTTATAGTATAGTAAATATTTATATCTATTTTTTACTGAGGACTTTATAGCACCATGTTTATTTGGACTTTGACACATTATTTATTATTTTCTTATTTTTTTATTTGTTCATTGTAAGTGGTGTTGTTTATAGTAACTGAAAATATATTATTTGGAAAAAGTCAAATTTGCTTCACTGTTCTATTATTTTGTAACATTTGTAACATACCGTATACCGCGAAACCATCAAACCGTGGTATTGTTTTAGACGATTATCATACCGTAAAAAATTCATACCGTTACAACCCTAATACCAACACAGACCTGCGTTTCAAGCAGGTCACCACCCACAGCGATGTGCAACTAAAAAGTCACTGCTAGTGTGAATGAGGCGTAAGGAAGACGTTAAGATTTTTTTCAAAAGATCAATTCTAGGAAGAATGTTTCCAAATCAGAATTCTTGAAAGCTTTAGTTAAAATAAAGTCAACTCTGAGCAGAAAAAGAACGGCTCTTTTATTGTCCAATCAAATGAAAGAGGAGGTGGTGTTTCCATTAAGGCGACAGCAGTGTTTATGTTGTCAAGATGACTTTAGAGACTTTAAAAGATGGAGGAGAGACTTGTGATTGCTGTTTAGAGTTATCCGGAGCTGTATGACTTCACAAATCTTGAATATTGTTTATGTTGTCAAGATGACTATAGAATATTGTTTATGTTGTCAAGATGACTATAGAATATTGTTTATGTTGTTAAGATGACTATAGAATATTGTTTATGTTGTCAAGATGACTATAGAGACTTTAAAAGATGGAGGAGAGGCTTGTGGTTGCTGTTTAGAGTTATCCAGAGCTGCATGACTTCACAAATCTTGAATATTACAATAGTAATAAATATTACAATAATAACAATATTAACAGCAGCATTCGCACACAATACCAGCTGATTTCAGTGGTTGTCTAGTGACATAAAAAGCACAGCACACTTCATTTTTTCTCTTGTCAACAAAAAAGCTTAATCGTTGTGATTGGCCCAATAAAATGAGCTTGAAGAACTTTACTTTTTTACTATTTAGAAGGCAAAAATTTTTTTGTTTTTTTTATTGTATGACTATTCTTGCTAAATATTTGCTGATCAAATCAAATATGCTTCACTAAGACAGAAAATTAATCATAAAAACTTCAAAAATCAACCCCCTATTTCACATATGTAGAAAATGATAATCATTTATTTACCCATAACTCCAAACAGCAAATGTCTGACAGAGAGTGTCCTTTTTCTGTTAAACACAAAAGAAGATATCTTGAAGAATGTTGAAAAATCAGGAGCCACTCCCATGCATAGTAGAGAAGAATACCATACAATGGAAGTCAATGGCTGTCGGTTTTCAACATTCTTCAAAATATCTTCCTTTGTGTTCAACAGAAAAACAAAACACAGAGGTTTGGATCCAATTGAAGACGAGTAAATTTAAATTTTCTTTCAAATGTATAAATGCTTAGTGCAGCGTGGTGGCTCAGTGGTTGGAACTGTTGCCTCACAGCAAAAAAGGTTGCTGGTTCGAGCCTCGGCTGAGTCAGTTAATTTTTTTTGTGTGGAGTTTGCATGTTCTCCCCGTGTTGGTGTGGGTTTTCTCCGTGTGCTCCAGTTTCTTTCACAGTCCAAAGACATGCGCTATAGGTGAATTGGGTAAGCTAAACTGGCCATAGTGTAGGTGTTTCCCAGTACTGGATTGTGGCTGGAAGGACATCCGCTGTGTAAAACATAAATGCTGAAGGAAAATAAATGAATGAAGGTTTAAAGTTCATTAGTACTCACAAACAGTAGTAAAGACAGCCAATGTTATACTGTGATGAATTAAAGAAGGTTTTCCTAACTTTAGATGCAATAGCAACAAACAAGTTCTTCAGGTTTTAATGGATTAGCTTGTTTATCTTTGTTGCCACTGGTCCATGTTTGTTAATCACCAATAAAACATGTTTCTTTGGCATTATTGGCTCATAAAATATATGAGAAGTGTCGTACAGTAATCTAATGACAGTCAATTTGGGCCGGTGTCTGTCATTGAATAGTTAAGTACACATTTATTATCAACAAAGTAATCAATTCTAAATTAAATACGAGCATAAACACATTAGCTTTACAAAACAAGAAATCAGAAAGCGACGAGCTACCAGGTAAACTAAACCAACTGTTTTGGTTGGACTGATCCTGACAGGTGCAGTGCATACTGGGAAATGGATCATCTCTAGCAGTAGTGTTAACAGCTTAGCCATCTGGGAGAGTGGCATGTGCCTCCTGCGTGAACATAACCTGCTATATCCACTAAACAAGATGCAAAGCGCCTGCTGATATCACAGTTTACCAGAAAACAAAACGATATGTCATTAAACCCGGTAGAACTATCAGGAGTACAGAAGAGACATGACTTACAGCCAGTAATGCACAATAAAGAATTCTTCTTTACGCCTGTACTTATCTTCCAAGAAACTATATTTTATCAGAGTGGTTTTATTTCGTTAAAACACGTCATTGCTTGTTATTTTGAACTGGAAAAATTCTCACCCTCTCTGAGAAGCGATAGAAGCACCTGATAAGTAAATAGACTGATTCTTTTGATGTTATCTGAAAAATAAAAATTCACTGAATCAAATTATTTGATCAGAGCGAGTCTGTAATTAACGACTCACTGATTCAAATGAACTGATAAGAGAGTCCTTTGATCTGATCAGAGCGAGTCTCCATTTAATGATTCACTGATTCAAATGATCTGATCAGAGTGAGTTTAGAGGAAAAACCAACAAATTCAATTGATACGATAAGAGTGAGTCTCCAAATAATGATTAACTGATTCAAATGATCTGATCAGAGTGAGTCTTCAGTTAAAAACTCACTAATTCAAACGATCCGATCAAGTCTCTAATCAACACTTCACTGATTTAAATGATCCAATCAGAGTGAGTCTCCAATTAACAATTCACCAATTCAAATGATCAGATCAGAGCAAGCTTCCAATTAACGATTCACTGATTCAAATAATCTGATAAGAGCGAGTCTTTAGTGAAAACCTAATTCCAATAATCAGATCATAACAAGTCTCAGATTAATTATTTACGAATTCAAATTATTTAATCAGAGAGTCTTTAGTTAAAAAAATATTTCAATCAGAGCAAGTATCTGATTAACAATTAATTGATTCAAATGATCCAATCAGAGCGAGTCTCCAATTAAAGATTCACCTATTCAAATTAATTGATCAGGGAGAGTCTTTAATTAAAAACTCACTACTTCAAATGATCCAATCAGAGCAAGTATCCAATTAACAAATCACTGATTCAGATCAGAGCAAGCTTCCAATTAACGATTCACTGATTCAAATAATCTGATCAGAGCAAGTCTTCAGTGAAAACCTATTTCCAACGATCTAATCAGAGCGAGTCTCCAATTACAAATCATTGATTCAAATGATCTGATCAGAGCGAGTCTTTAGTTAAAAACTTACTAATTTAAATGATCCGATCATAGCGAGTCTCCAATTAACAATTCATTAATTCAAATGATCTGATCAGAGTGAGTCTTTAGTGAAAACCTGATTCCAACGATCCGATTTGAACGAGTCTCCGATTAATGATTCACTGATTCAAATGATCTGATCAGAGCGAGCCTCTAATTAAAGATTCAATGATTCAAATAATCTGATCAAAGTGAGCTATTAGTTAAAAACTCATTGATACAATTGATCCGATCAGAGGAAGTCTCCAATTAATGATTCACTGATTAAAATGATCTGATGAGAGTGAGTTTTTAGAGAAAAACTAATTCAAATGATCTGATCAGAGCAAGTCTCTGTTTGACAAATTCACTGATTGAAATTATCCTGTCAGAACAAGTCTCCAACTAACAACTGAATTCAGAAGTCTGGCTAAAAATTAAGCAGAGCTAGTCTCTAGTTGATTCACTGATTCAAATGATCCAAAAAAGCAAGTGTCTAGTTAACGACTTACTGATTCAACTAAACCAATCAGAGTAAGTTGCCAATTAACGATTTACTAATTCAAAATACATGCTCCAGTTTATGATTCACTGATTTGAATGAACCCATCAGTGCGAGTCTCCAGTGAACGATTCACCAAATTCAAACGATTCAATCAGAGTAAGTCTTCAGTTAACAATTCACAAGTCTGACTCAAAATGAACCAATAAAGGGAGTTCGTCAAGCTTGAGTTAGGACACGACCAATGGTCAACAATGCAGAACTTTAACATTTTTAGACATTTAAATCATACTTAAAGGAGTTCTTCACTTCCAGAATGAATCGGCCAAAATTGACTCACTGTCCACGTGAGTTTCCTACATTTGATTAGCACTAAAGAAGGTATTTTGAAAATGTTGGTTTCTGAACAGTTGATAATCACAACTGACTTCAATTGTAAGGAAAAAATATGATGGAAGTCAAGGATGACCAACTACTGACAGTGGAAGACAGTGACGACCAAACATTCTGGAAGCGAATTTGTAAAGCATTTCCCACTGTGTGACATAATAGTGTATGTTTATATAGCTTGTAACAGTAAAAGCAGCTGAGCTACGGCCCCCAGTAATAAATGCAATGTAGTCAGGTAGCACCGTTTAGTTAGTTACTCTCCAACAGTGTTTGTAAGTCCATTAAAGTCTCCACTGACCTTTGAGATGAGCTCATCGTGATTGGCGAGATGTGCCCGGCAGTGGATACAGCTGTAGGTTCGGTGACAGTTGGGCAGGTAAGCCTGGAAGGTTTTGGACTTTGTCATTTTCACCATCTCACAGTCGTGGTGCTCCTCGCTGGGTTCCTCCGGGCTGGCGCTGGACGAGTTGCAGCTCTGCTGAACTTGCTGACAGAAGAAACACTGGAAGATGCAAGCAAAAGCCGTCGTTGTTGTGGAGTGGATGTGTGGCACGCTCCACACAGACACCACAGGAGAAAATACGACCTAAAGAGATTGAAAGAAATAATGAAGACATGTCACTATTTATTAGCTCTTTACCAAACTATAAGGGCCCTATCATACACCCGGCGCAGTGTGACGCAAGGCGCGGCGCAGTAGTCTTTTGGTAGTTTCAGCTTGGCGCAAGAGTCGTTTTGAGGCGTTGCACTACGCTGTTTAAATAGCAAATGCATTAGCGCTCATTTTTGCGTTCTGGTCTAAAAAGGAAGGTGTTCTGAGGTGGACTGCTGGCGTGTTGCTATTTTGAGAATCTATAATAGATTTTTCATTAGACCAAAACAAACCCGGTCTAAACTCCGGCGCAGGGTTGCGCCTCGCTTACGCACTGCTTAATACACACAAGAGAGCAATAGGCAAATATCTTTACATATTAAAAAAATTAAATATTAAGGATATGTATAGTATATTATAAGAATATATATATATAGGATATAAATATAAAGGATTAAAATATTACAAAACATATTATTTTCTAGCCTACATAAATATGAAAAACCACTGCTTTTATGTCTTCTTCATCTCGGGAGGCTTTTTCAGTTCATTCATAACAATTTGCTTTTGTATAATGTTATTATTATTAGCAGTATTATTTATTATATCCATATTTATATTTGTTTTATTAAAACAAGCTTAGATTTGCCCACCTGTCAGGTTTTAGACCATATGGGGCACAGCATGTGTTTTAGGATATAACTCAGGTTTTTGAGCACATTTTGTAATTATTATTCATTTATTCGTTTGCTGGAAATTAGAACTGAATTTAGAAATAGTTTTGAAACGAATATTTGCACTTAACAAACAAAAGTATTTATTTATAGACTAATGGATGTCTGTTTGTAAAGGTTTCCCTATCCAAGAGCGAAAGTGATCCATTATCTCTCATTCTCACGCAGTAGATGCTCTGTTTAACAGTTTTCTGTTTTAAAAAACTGTTAACTGTTTGCTTGTGAAATGCTCAGTTTTTCCACTTAGACTTACTTTGCGTCCTGTAAATAGCGAATGCGATCTTGGCGCGACGCAGCTGGGTCTTAAAGGGAATGGGAGATGAGATTCTAATTGGTTTATTCTCAAAACACACCTATAACTCATTAAGAAAATAAACTCAACCCTTTTAGACCATGCGCCGTGGCGCAAGGCAGATTTCCCGTCCTTAAATAAGCAAAAACGCGTCCTGGCACGCCCTGAAAGCGTTTGCGCCCTGCGTTTGGCACTCTGCGCATGGACCGTCAAAATAGAGCCCTAAGTTTTCAAACTATAAAAGAGATTCAAAAGCACCAGCGATATTCAATAAATCAATATATTGTGATATTGAACATGAACAATATTAATATTGTGGGCTTTTCAAAATATTGTGATTTTTTTTTGGTACTTAATAGAAAGTTTTTGTTCTAAGAATATTCACATTGTATTTGCAGTGGTGTTAATAACAACACTCGATGCTTAGAGACACTAGACAAACATGAACATTCTTACATGTTAATCTGGCCTACTACTACAAGCTGAAATACTGATTATTAATTTATAGGGATTTTGTATATTAACACTGTGCAGTAAGGCTCCAATAGTTTTAAAGAGCCCATATTATACATGAAATAAGGTCATATCTTGGTTGTAAGGGTCTCCAACAACAGTTTAATATGCATGCAAGGTCAAAAAACACTTTCATGGTCTTATAATCTGCATTTATTTTTATCTAATTATCCCAGCGACTCCTGTATGAATCGTCCAGTGATTCATTTGTTCCCAAACCCCTCCTTAGCGCGGAGCTAATCTGCGCTGATTGGACCGATGACAGTCTGTCGCGATTGGTCGACTGCCTTCAGTCAGAGAGGGAAATGGCCAATAGCTAATCAGCAATTTAAAAAGTAATCACAGTTCATACACGCTCGATAGTGTAGGCGTGGAGTTTAGCTGCCACACTATGGCGAGTGGATAGTGCCACGGATAACCGAACGAAGGAGACAGTCGTGTACTCGCCATACCACACACACACAAAAACACACACACACCTCCGGATGACAACGCTCCCGCTTCCGCCCGCACCCGCCAGGTTTTAGCCTGAGAACCCGCTCCGTTTTCTGCCCGCCGCGCCCGGTCCCGCTAGAGCGGAGAACACAACCAAATATCACCCAGTATACAGTCCAGACAGCCAAGCTGTCTGTAAACACATACACACAGCACAAAGTACACAAAGCTCGTTCGTTCGTTCGCTCTCTCTCTCGCTCTCTCTCTCTCTCTCCCCGCGCCAGATTTCTGCGGCGCGGGAATACATTTCCGAATAAATCGCGGGAGCAGAACTCTAGCACGGAGCTCCATAAACAAACAGCACGCGTCGCGTTTTTAACGTGACTTTGCACGCGATAAGATAATATATCCAGTTAACCTGATACAGTACACGCGGTTACAAGTAACAAATCACAACTAAATACATTTGCAAGCTAGAGTCAACGAGGCAACAACTTTAACCGCACGTACTTACACTTGAGAAATGTAGGAAGAAACCCATCCTGACGTCCAGCAGTTACTCTTTACTGATCCTTCCTTTAACAAACTCAGATGAAGTATTCTTTGTAGCATGTAGCTTCCAGAAGTTTCCAACTGCTTGGTTATAATGCTGATGTTTCATCTTTGGGTAGAGACTCAATATATCCATCTGCAGTGTGACTTCAATCGACCGGCATGTTTGTGTGCGTGTGTTTGTGGGTGTGCGTGTGTTTGTGGGTGTGTGTGTGTGTGTGTCTGGGTTACTGCGTCAGAGGGCGGGGCCTCAGGTTTGAAATCTCCCGGGTTTGCGCGTGCACGTGAAAAACTTTGTTTCGTTCGTACGTCATGGCGAAACACCTAATGAGTCGGTATCAAGGCGACTCGTTTGAAGCACTATGATTCGACTCTTTTATAGATGAATCAACAGTTTTAAACACTGTATTCTTACAGATTTAAGCCTTAGCTGGATACTTCACTTCACTTAGAGCTGTGTTACACACTACATGGAGGGGAATTTTCAAAAACCCATAATATGGGCTCTTTAAAGCTCCAAAACTTAATTTGACTAAACTCAATGAAAACTACAAAAGTTTGTATTGCATTCCTGGATCAAAACAAACGCAAGCGCAGGTTGCCTGATTGAGGACTAACAAGGCTGATTTAAACCATGTTTTAAATAAAAGGCGCGCGATAGAAGAAATATTTTTTTAATTAAAAAGGAATTTTTGTTCTAACCAACATCCTGGAATTGATATATTAGAAATGACCTCTAGTTCTTGCAGCTGAACAACAAAAAATTGACAGTAGTCACCCCACCTCATGTGCTTTATTCAGCATTAAATGCTAACAATGCGTGCATTTGTGTCCTCTTAAACTGTATACCAAATGTTTTTTTGAACTCGCACCATAATTTGTTGCAATTTGTGCATTTTTGTTTTAATTGCGCCACTCCCTGCCCACCGCAGCAGCTATGAAAAAATCTCATAAGAGATGACGACAAGTCATCTGAATAATGTCTCGCTGAAACATTCAGGTACAATTATAAAACAGCATGGGCATCGCTTTTGCCCCCTATATTTCTTCTCAGCCCCCCCCTAAAACTTTTGCGATTACCTCATGAAATGTCCAATAAACTATTGCCTCAGTCCCCTTTAAAGTCAATCTCTGGGTCTGCTGGGGTCACTATTACCCAAGCATAAATCACTGAGCAGGATTAGACTATTAGCATCTTGCTTTAAAATAACCAAATTTTTGAAATACTTTTCCTTTTTTTAATGGATAGTAGGGTTGGGCCGATAGACAATGCCATCGTCCATCGCTGATGGCCGATAAACCTCACGATGCTGAGCCAACATTGCGATCCATCAACCCTGCCCTGCCCCACATTTTTATTGATATAACTAAATATTTGCATGTCATCTTAATAGCAATAACAGTATTTTCATGAGCTGTGTTAAATTTTACATATAGCTGCATATTAAACATATAGCTTTTTTACATCAGAAAGTTCACATAACAACTGTTTTAATCTGTTACTGTTTGGCGTTTTTAGGTGCAAGGACGCCTTCTGCAGAAATATCTCCAAAATCTGCGCACGCGGTGAGGATTTTGCCATGGAAACAGTGAAAATTTATGCACTGGCACAAATGTTTCCACATATATTTAAAGGTCGCATAGATAAACTTTCGGGCGCATATGTGACCAAAATGGTCGAGCCCTTGCATCTTTACTTGTTTTTATTTTCTCATAATAATAATAATAATAATAAAATAAGAAAATTATCATCAATCACAATAAAAATTACAGAAAACTTCAAACGAACTCTCGTCTCCTCCACCAGCTGTGGGAAAAAGCTATTATAACGACACAGATCACTGCCTATTCCTTCCTGCTGAAAAAAAAAAAGTGATTGACAGGTGGAAATTTGTGTGTAACTTTATTAATTTATGGTTTGGTTATGGGTAGAGCAAAGACCATGGTAGTCAGGTATAGTAAAAACAATAGGCTACAATTAATTAATTTGTTATGAATTAATTGATATTTAACAACCCCCACCTATGACGACGATGCCATCGTCCATCGCGATGTTTCACATTAGACATCGTACGAGGCCAAATTGGTCAACATCGCCCAACACTAATGGATAGTTCACCCAAAAAAAACGACAATTGTCATCATTTACTCAGACAAACTAGTTTGGAACACGTAAAGTTTTTTTTTGTTATTCTGTTAAAAGCTGGAAAGCCGTAACCATTGACTTCCGTAGCATTTGTGTTTTCTTCTGTGGAGGTCAATAGTTACAGGTAACTTATGTTGAATAAAAATATATAGTTAATGAATCAAAAAAACACTGACTTTGGTCTTTTCTTTGCCCACCTTTAAAATTTGGGTGGGGTGGGTAATAATACACCAACTTTTGTTAGGATTTCACCACTGGTTTGCAGTGCATCTCTATGGCATAACAACATTTTACACTGAAAGTTAATTTAAGATGGATCTTT